TTAATTAACCGGTTTTATGAAGTTTACTAAAAATGAGGTGTACTAATAAATATTTTTTTTTTATTAAAATTGACATAAAAAATATAACACTGGTATTTTAAATATTATACTGTTTTTATAAAACAGTTTTTATAATTTATAAAACATTTTTTTATAAAACTTTTTATAAATAAAACTGTTTTTATATAAAACTGTTTTGTATAAAAACAGTTTATACAAATTTGTTTTTATATAAAACTGTTTTATAAAACAATTTTTTGTAAAACTATTTATAAAAAACTGTTTCTATAAATATAAAAAGTAAAAAAATAGTACGACAAATGCAATAAAATGAATTTATTGACATCCTTAAAAAAAGTAAAAAAAAATACATATATTTAAATTTTCAAAATAAATTATGTTCCCTCATGTAAACTTGCCTAAAAGTTTAACATGTTACCTTTAAAAATAATTTATTTTAGAGTTATAAAATTTTTTATAGAAAACTGTTTTTTATAGAAAACTGTTTACGAAAACTGTTTAAAATTGCCTACAAGTTTAACAAGTTACATTTGATAACAATTTATAAAATTACCACCCCTCATATTAAACTTACACACAGTTTAATATGTTTTACACATTTTCAATTGATAAATGTATAAAAATTTGATCTTCTATTATGATTAGACTAACATTTAAAAATATAAATTAATATATTTTAGATGAGCAATGAACAATCAACCTCGCGTCCCCGCCCAAACTATGTGCCCTTAACCGAAGCTGAGCGCAACAATGAAAATGCGCTTTGGGTGACGCCCCACATAGTTGTGAAGTAAGTAACTATGAATTTTATCTAACGTGAAATAATTTTTTCAATGTATCGTAATGTAATCAAAACTTTTATAAATGAATAATATTAATTTTCTGAAGCGATCAAGAAGTGTTGGACCGAATCAAACTCATAATCGGAGGACACTTTCTTGGGAACTGGGCAACATACACGGAAGTTGACCCCAAGGTTCGTGAACTTTGGTGGAACCTGTTCAAGGTAAAAAAAATGAATTTTCTCTGCGTAATTGTATTAACGTAACATTTGATAAAAGATAAATTAATTTATTTGTTTTTTATAAAGGGTCGGTTTCGATGGACTGAAGCCCAAGGTCCCGCTATTCTTAGAGCGTATAACGCTAGGATTTCAAATTGGCTTCGTCCTACTTTTAGGCGTGCCCGAACGAGCGGGGTAAAGCCTGGATGGTGTTCGGATGAGGTGTGGGCTAACCTCGTCCGTCACTGGTCTTCTGATCCAAACTTTTTGGCAAGAAGTCAATCCGGTAAGAAAAACCGGATGTCCGACAAGGCTTTAGAAACCCAATAGCATGGGGGCCGCAAACCTCAGAGTAGACATAAAGAAGATCTTGTAAGTATTTTTCAAAAAACCTTACACAATTACAACCCTTTATTTTAACAATTAATTATGGATCTTAAGCCTTTTTTCCAAACTGTAGTCGGGGCCTGAGAAGAAGAAGGTCTCAATTCTCAAGGTCATCAAGCACTGCTGGACAAAGCACGGCGATGAGTCTGATGCCGATCTGCCACCCCGCCTCGCTGAAATCGAAGTAAGTAACACTATTTTGTTACTTATTTCCATTCAAAATCAAATTGAGTAACATTAAATTAACAATTTTTGTACATGTAGTCGAAGTATAACACAAATGTTGAGAAGAGGCGGGCAGAATTAGGCTTGACTCAGCAGGATGAGATTGATTCTGATGTGGAGGATGATGCCATCTTTGAGGCAGTTGGGGTGTACAAGGGCCGGGTCCCGTGCATGGGGGCTGAGGGGCAACGGATCTTGTACGACCGCAGCGGGGCTTCATCTTCCCGATCAAGGCGCGGAGAGGATCCGCGTATCGCTCAAATGCAGCGGGAGATGGAGGAGCAGCAGCGGGCCTTGGATGAGCAGCAGCGTTGCTTGGAGGAGCAACGCAAAAAAGAAGAAGAAACAAGGGCCCGGCTGGAAGCGATGGAACGGATCCTCAGCGCCGGAATTCGGAATCAGCCTCAGCCTCAGCCTCAGCCGTATGTACTGCACCCTGAGCAGACACCTCAAGTTCCGCACATGGGCGGTAATTTCCGTACCAACTCTGCTACCGGGTTGCCTTCATTTGGTTCTATTCAGGATATCAATTTTCACAACCTGTTTCAAACATCTGGAGGCAGCCAAGCAGGAGGCAGTCGCGGAGGTGGCAGTCGCGGAGGAGGCAGTCGCGGTGGCAATCGAGAAGGCCAAGCTGGAGACAACCGAGAAGATGAGACCGAAGAAGATTATCTTTTTTTTTTTTTTTTTTTTTTTTTCCGAACAATAAAATAATTTTAAAACTTTACTCCCACGTGTAGCAGTATAATTATAAAGTATGAGAATGAATGCAATCCACACAGATGGTACCAAATATGGTATACGACTCTACAATTTTTTTACCATAGTAGTTCATGACATCACTTGGAAAATTAACATGAGATCACTTGGAAAAATGAAGATTAATCCCCCCATCATGAAACAGTGCATAAGCCGTCAGCATCAAGTGATCCTTGCACAAGTTTCATTAGAGTCAACTGGAGAAGTTTAATCAGCCCACCATGAAACAGGGCCTAAGCCGTCAGAATCAAGTGATCCCGTAATAAGCATAGGGGCAAATGACTTTGATCCTTTATCTTGCTCTAAAGGTATTTGAGGATAGCTAACATTGTGAACTCGGAATCATAATGGTGATTCTAGATATTATCATAATGGTAGCCGGAGGAGCTTGTAATTATATACATTTTTATTTGAACATTGTTTATTTACTATAATTCTATTGTGTTTATTATTACTTTTATTTCAGTCTGTTTGGTTATGAAATGTGTGTTCTAGTAGTCTGTTTATTACTTTTATTCTACAAATATTTTTTTATTACTTTTATTCTACAAATATTTTTTAAAATAAACTTTTCTAAAGAAAAATTAAAAATAAATTTATTTTTTTTTATAAAACAAAAAAACTTTTTTTTTAAAAATAAAAAACTTTAGTCACGGATCCGAGCCGTGACTAAATTCTAGACCGATTTTTTAAAAAGTTATTTTACAAATTTAAATTTTTTTTAAAAAATAAAAAAGTAGTCACGGATCAAGTCCGTGACTAAAATTTGAAATTTGAAAATTTAAACCGTAACATTTGGCGGTTCATTTTTAAAATTTGAAAGTTTAGTCACGGATTGGTCCGTGACTATATTTAGTCACGGAAAAGGCCGTGACTAAGTCGCCGGTGTGGTTATTCCGGTGACAAGTTAGTCACAGATACGGTCCGTGACTAAGCCGTGACTACGCTTAGTCACGGATAAAATGTCTGCGACTAGAATTAGTCACGCCCAAACAGTCACGGATTTAGTCACGGACAAAGTCCGTGACTAGCAGAGTTAGTCACGGATTTTTTATACTACGGTCCGTGACTAAATCCGTGACTAACTCCGTGTTTTTTGTAGTGTATGTTGAATTTAGTGATGCAGTCTTCCATGGATCATACCGATGCCAAAGAGCATTTCCATTATACTTAGGTGATAATTATGGAATTTAAATAGGGCCGTACACGGACCTAAATGGGACCCGTATGTTCACTATAGATTAGGGAAGAGATAAGATTATGAATCTATTTTGAACTATATATGAAGAAGTCTCAATGATATTCATGCATGTTCTCACTCTATTTGGTCGATAAAGCTGAACTAAACCAGATGAGCCCGAATATTCCAGATACACACATTAGGTCATAGAGGAGACCTGCTAACTAGACCTGTACAAAACCGGGCCGGCCCGCCCGGCCCGCCCAGCCCGCCCGCACAAATTAGCGGGCTTGGGCATATATATTTACCCACCGGCCCGGCCCGTGCCCGGCCCACAACAACATATGGGCGGGCTTGGGTTAGGGTGTAGGCCCGTTCGGGCCGATAAGCCCGGCCCGCTACATTTAGTATATATACATATATATATTTTTATATATACTAATTTATGTATTTATTTACATGTACACATGTATATTTTTATATTTACTAATTTATTTGTAGACATATTTATAGTTTATTATGTTTAAATTTAAGTTTTTAGTTCTTAACAAATAGTCCAACCAATATAATATCTATTTTTGTACTTAACGATAATACTTTGTGCATGAATTTTAAATTGGAATAATTGAACATAATAATTCCAACTATTGCTGGTCCGCTGACAATAATCCTAACTATTGATTATTTTTGTATAATCCCAACTATATGGACCATCCGCCAATAATGGTCCATGACCAGATATTACCTCCTATAACATGTTAATTTTAAATAGAAATTAAGCATAAAATTAAAAGTAGGGATTATTTATAGGGATTACTTGCTATATCTATTCTCATCCACTTTAGAAACTACATGAATTTATTTATAGGGACCATTATTGGCGGAAGGTCCCTAAAGTTGGGATTATTCTGAAATAATCGATAGTTAGGATTATTATGAGCGGATTGCCAATAATTGAGATTATTAGTATCAATTTTTCCTTTTAAATTTTAGATATAATTTCTCATTATTATTTTTGTGTAAATATTTTTTGTGTATGTGATGAAAGGCCTATATACATTATAAGCGTATTAGCATTTTTTTAAATATTGCAATATTATTAATAAAGTATTAAATAAATTATATAATTTTGAAAAATTTAAAGTCTTCCCGGGCCCGGCGGCCCGGTGGACTACCCGGCCCGCTCTTACGGGCGGGTATGGACATGGGGTTAGGCCCGTTTTTGCGGGCCGGGCCGGGCCCGCCCACACACGATGGGCAGAAAACTTATGAAAAGCCCGGCCCGAGCCCGGCCCGAACCCGCTTTTGTGCAGGTCTACTGCTAACATTCAATATTTTAAAATTTGTGTATTGCTTATCATATGTTTTTAACCAAGGGAAATTGCTTACATGTAATTAACTTTACTCCTATAAAATCAAATGGCTTCGTTGTCCACGGTGTTGTATCTACCGCCCTCCCACGAGAGGCACGACAGTCTGAGAGCTAGTCTGAGAGCAGGGAGCGGTAATAATATCAAGCCTCATGAGGTCGTCATCACTGGTAAGCGGAAGTTGTTGGTCCTTGCCGCCGCCGCAGGCGGCGGTGATCCTAATGAGGTCAAGCCTCATGAGGTCATCACTTTCGTGAATCCTCTGTTGGTCCATACTGCTGCAGTACTGGAGCAACCGATCAGGATGATAATGACTATGATCCTGGCCCTTTCTATTACACTTGCAATAGTGCAGACATTGAGGGAGTCCTCCTCTACGCTGATGAAACTTGTAGGCAACGCCATTGAGTACTTCCTTCTGCTGCAAAAGAAGGGGTTTCTATGCCAAGAGATCTATCTGAAGGCTCTCACCGGCATCAAGCCAATGTCGACCTTCGACGCTTCACCTTCAGTCGCTGTCAGAGAAGAAGTTTGATCACGATCCTGGTGGGCGGTCGGAGGCACCATCCTCATAGAAAATGGCGACATCACCATCAATAATTGAATCGTATTACTTTGCTTCTTTTCTGATTAGTTCGTTTCTTCCCTGCTCACAATCTTATGATTTTGTTCACCCCAAATTTTGAACGGTCGTTCAATTGTTCTATGAAAGATCGTTGCACTCAATTGTTCAATTCCCTGCAGAAGATCCTTACACTCATAGGCCCTACTTTTACCATCAAACATATACATTTACCATTAACTTTTAGCTTTATTTGTACCTTTCTTCCGAATGACTAATTCAATGCAATATGCTCTCTGCCTTTTTAAAAGTTTAAAGGCATTAGTAGTATTATCAACCACCAACTTGTCAATATTGTGTTTTTGTAGTGTAAAAAAATCATGTTTACTTTTATTTCTACTTTTAGAAAGTGATTTATATTATTTATTCTTGCTGAAGAAGTTGATTGAAAAAATTTAAAATAAAAATAAAATTGAAGTGGTTTGATTTAAATATTTGAAGTTCGATAAAAATACATTTGAATCAATTAAATTGAACATTTTCTACTAAAAATTATTGTCTTCCTAGCCTTGCTACACTGGTAGCTAGCCGGCGGACATGAGCTTGTTTGGACACTTTTACAACGAGCCGGTTTTGTGGAGAAGTCGACGTCCATGTGTGGACACACGAACTAGCCATCCTACCTGTACGACTTCCCTTACCTCTTCTTCGTATCTAACTTTGTTAAAACTTTGGCCAAGTAATAGTGTACAATTAATTGTTATTAATTATTAGCTAGTATCCTAATTGTATTAGGCAACTTTTTCCATTATAAATATACACTTAGAGCTACCAGTCTAGTTAAGCCTGTTTATTATTCTCACATGGTATCAGAGCGTAAAGTTTTTGAACAATTTTTTTCCTTATGGCGTCTACATCCACTGCAAACAGCACCATGGTCGCGCCGCATTAACGGCAGCGCTAGCGCCTGTGAGCATGTCTCCGGCAATTTGTTTGACAACGGCTCCGATCAATCTCACGTTTGGCTCAACCTCGTCAAATATGCAGTCTTCCTTGTTGTTTCCATCGCACAGCTCTACCCTGGACAAGTCTGCTTGGGTACCACTAGTATTCGACTTGTCTTTTCCCTTCATCGCCAGTCGATCCACTTGTCATGTCTCCACCGTTCTGTCTGTGTCGTCTGGTGCAATCTCGAACCCAATTTGCAAGGCCAAAGTTTTGTCATTCGCAGGGCCTGGCTCCGACTCATACTGTGTGTCCCATTAGTCGGTGAGTTGCTATGACATCACTAGGTTCCCTTGAAGCAATTGCTTAATCCATGGGATTCTCTGCTCCCAATATTACAAATATTGTCACTACCAAGCTTGATGCGGTTGAAGATTATTTACCCTAGAGAACACAATTTGAATCCTTTTTGGTGTCTCAAGGACTGCTGGGTATTGTAGACAGTACTCTTTCTACTCCTCCTTCCACTACTTTTAATAATGAATATTATAACTGGCTAAAGTTAGATCAAACAGTCCATTCCTGGTTCTTTGCTACTTTACCTCGTGATATACTTGTTGAGGTTCATACTTTAAAAAATTCTGCTACCATTTGGGAACGCTTGGAATCACGTTTTATGGCTGCCGGTTTGGCTCGTTTCACGGAACTAAAACGATTGTTATCCACCTCTAAAAAGAAAGAAAATCAACCATGGAACAATATATGCGTGAAATTCAGAAAATTGTTGATGCCTTAGCAACCATTACTTCCCCTGTATCCATGAAAGGCGTCCTTGAGCAAACACTTATTGGTCTTGGTCCTGACTATGAGTCCATGACTACCACTTTGACTATGTTCCCTGGGGGTCTCATGTTTGATAGTCTACGGACCAAGTTGGTTCAACAAGAGCAACAACGTATTTTGTACCTTTGGCATTTGTGGTTCAACCTACGACTCCAGTTGGACAAGGGAATGACGTGTGTGGGGATATCATCAAGCTAGGGGGTGTGGACATCGCGGTTAGCATGCACGTGGGAACAGCGGGAGGGGCCGTGTGGACAAAAACAGATGTATGATGCATGTCCCGCCGCCTAGTACTATCAGCCTCGGTCGGGGCAGCCAACACTAGTGGAAAAACTGTAAAGGGAGGGCACTTCGTTTTTAGCCACAAGCGCCTCTAATATTGACAATTTTTTTCTTGTTTTGTTCACAACGTGTGCGGCACTTTTAAAGTATTAACACCTCTAAGTAACTTTATTTTGAAGTATCGGACCACTTTTATACGGTACTTGGGTTAATGAAGCACCTCTGAGTTTTTTGTTTTAACAATATAAAGCACACGCACCAAGTTTCAGCGTTAACACCCGGCCGCCGCACCCTCAAAACCTAGATCTATTTTCCATATCATCCCAGAGATGAGAATACTTTCAGAGAAGGAGGTTAGATTTAAAGTGTCATGCCACCCTCTTCGTCCATTCTACTGCTATTTTATGTCCTCTTCCTTGAACAACTTGTCATCAACTCCCATTTGTTAATTCTCTAAGTAAATTCTTTTTATCATCTATTGCTTAATTATTTTTTGATTTCTATTAGTATCTTTACTTGATCAGAACAGGATGAAGAATAGACCATAGCACCATACAAAAAAGTGAAAAAGTGAGCGTTGACATGAAGAGCTTCGTCGATAATGCCGTGTACAACATAGTCTGCGCCACCGACTCCCCGGCACTGCCACTTCCCACCGCCTACAATTGTCTGCAGTCCGCTCACGCCCGCCACTGCTGCTGCAACACCGTAATATATGGCACCGCCGTTTTATTAAATCAGATCTGTTTATTTTTTAATGGTGAAGTCTAATAGAATAATATAAGGCATATTTGTTTCCTATTGTGTATTAAACTCTTTTAATATAAATAGACATGCCAGGGCTCCTATTGGAGCACTGTTTTCCCAAATTCTCACATGGTATCAAGAGCCTAGGGCTAATAATTTTTTTCCGGCTATTCTCTCTCTCCTTCGATCGCCGCCATGGAGTCCATCGATGGAAGCCTTCCACTTACGAATGTTTCCTCCTCCATGGAAACAATATCTACAGCAGCAATGACGATGCCAATTCCCTCTCTTGATTCTGCTTCTTCCATCCCTGCTTCCACTGCCGCATCAGTCATCACGCAGTCCTCTGGCGCCCTCTTTTCTTCCATGACGCAGCCAGAATTTCATCCCTCAAATCCAGAGTTCTCTTCTCTATGGATGCCGTCGACCCCTTATACTTTATTCAGCCAACTCCCGCCGCAGTTTCCATGGTCGCAGCTCCCTCCTCCGGCCAGCTCGAGCACCCTGCCCAATTCCTCTTATTTTGGGACGACGTTTGCTGGGTCGCCGGGTGTTATTCGACCTACTCATGACAATCAGTTGCTTGGAACTGATTGTTTTTGGGTTTAAATTCTCCCGACTTCTTCTTCACCGGTGCCTGAAGCTTCTGCCACCCCACCCGTCTTGGCCTTAGAGTTCCAGCAGTCCACGGCTACTGTGTCTGGTTCCTCTATTTCTCCAGGCCAGCTTGCTAATAAACATCCCATGCAAACTCGGGCAAAGTCGGGAATTTTTAAACCCAAAACCATTTTTAATCTAAACACTGTTGCGTTATCAGCTGATCCTACTTGTTTTTCTGAGGCTAATAAACACTTAATATGGCGTGAGGCAATGGCGGAGGAATTTAATGCTCTTATTTCTAATAATACTTGGGATTTAGTTCCGTTTGATAATACTAAAAATGTTGTGGGCTCTAAGTGGATTTATAAGACTAAATATAATTCTGATGGGTCTATTGAGCGTCACAAAGCACGTTTGGTTGCTCAGGGGTTTAATCAACAGGCAGGTGTGGACTTTTCTGAAACTTTTAGTCCCGTTATTAAACCTACCACAGTCCGTATTGTTCTTACACTTGCTATTTCTTTTGGATGGGTTATTCGTCAGTTAGATGTCAAAAATGCATTCTTACATGGTTATTTGACTGAGGAAGTATATATGCGTCAACCGCGGGGTTTTATTCATCCTATGTTTCCTCATCATCTATGTCGTCTGCGAAAAGCCATTTATGGTCTTAAGCAAGCCCCGCGGGCATGGTTTCACAGATTCAGTAGTTTCCTATTGTCTCATAATTTCACGTGCAGCAAGTCTGATAATTCGCTATTTATTTTTCGTCAGAATAATAATGTCATTTATTTATTACTATATGTTGATGACATCATTATTACTGGCAATTCTTCTTCTACTATCACTTCGTTTATTCAGCTTGTTGCACAGCATTTTGCTATGAAAGATCTGGGAGATCTTCATTATTTTTTGGGTGTCCAGGCTGTCCGATCCAGCAAAGGTTTGTTTCTATCTCAGCATAAATATGTGTCTGATCTTCTGTCTCGTTTTCATCTTCATACCCTCAAGTCTGTTCGTACTCCACTTGCTACCCGCACTTCGTTATCCCTCACTGATGGGGAACTCCTTGCTGATGCTACTGAGTATCGTAGTATGGTTGGTGCGTTACAATATTTAACTTTGACACGACCTGACATTACCTATGCTGTGCATTTAGTCTCTCAGTTTATGCATGCTCCTCGTACAACTCATCTTTTTGCTGTCAAGAGGATTTTTAGATATTTACAGGGGACCCTTGATCATGGATTATGGCTTCAGCCCACCCCTCGAGCTACTTGTGTTATTGCATATTCTGATGCGGATTGGGCTGGCTGCCCGGATACGTCTCGATCCACGACCGGCTTTGCTGTATTCTTAGGCCCGAATCTCGTCTCTTGGAAGTCTAAGAAACAGCCTACTGTCTCAAAATCCTCTACGGAAGCTGAATACAGAGCGGTTGCGTACACTGTTCAGGATACCCTGCATATTCGTTCTGTTCTGTTTGAGCTCGGTTTTCCTGTTACTACACCGGTTCAGCTTTTATGTGATAATATATCTGCTTCCTATTTGACTGCTAATCCAGTTCAACATGCTCGTAGCAAGCATATTCAGATCGACTACCACTTTGTTCGGGAGCGTGTCGCTCATGGAGATTTGGTTGTTAAGTATATTCCTACTCAGTTGCAGTTAGCTGACATTTTTACTAAAAGTCTTTCTAGTCAGCAATTTAATTTTTTAAAAGACAACCTGCGCGTTGTATCTCCCGCACAGTTTGAGGGGGTGTAATAGAATAATATAAGGCATATTTGTTTCCTATTGTGTATTAAACTCTTTTAATATAAATAGACATGCCAGGGCTCCTATTGGAGCACTGTTTTCCCAAATTCTCACAAAGTCAGATTGTTTTTGTTAGGGTGAAGTCAGATTTGTTAGAATTACTTTTGTAATTTGTGATATTGTTGTATTTTTTTTTATTTGTGATATTGTTGTATATTGCAGTGCAATTTTTTAATAATTGTATATCTATAGTGGATATTGGTAGATAATAATCCGTATTACAATGATTGTACCGGACTATATGATTCTATTTTGATAAATTTATAAACAATTGAAACGGTGTGGTACGTTATAAATTTATAATGCTCTATCATAACTGAAAATTGAATTGAAAATGGAAATTGGTGATAACTACAACTGACGTGCAAATTGATATACAGAGAAAGTTAAACACGAAACAGATCAACTCTCAGGCGCTTTTGATAGAAGAAACGCCGCACGGTATTTTAAAATTAAATTAATATTAGGAGGCACTTGTATGTTTAATAAACGCCGCATGCTCAGATATGCGACACTAAAACTTGCGGCGATTCAAAGGGCCGCACGCAAGGCTTTTCAAGTGCCTCTAATGGCACCTTTTCCACCAAGTGCGACACCAGGAGGTTGCTTTCCACCGGGCTACTATCAGGCTCGTCCAGCGGATCCTTCACAGGGACATCCAGGTATAGGGGTATAGTTATGTGTAATTCAGTTTATTCGTTTTCAAAAAAAAAAAATCAGTTTATTCATTGTTTCATACGCATCCTGACTCTGTTATTGCTGCTACTAACAATTGGTCTGCAGACTCTTCTTTAGTTGATGGACAATTTGGTAGCTGTGACTGTATATTGAATTATTTATAATGAAATAAGTTGCCTAATACAATTAGGATACTAGCTAATACTACCTCCGTCCCCCTAAGTTTGGGACAAGAGAAGGTGACACGGTTATTAATAAAAGTGGGTTTATGTGGTTAATATTGAATTGATAAAGTAAAAATAAAGTAGAAATGATTTAGAACCACACAAACTTTACCAAGTAAGGTATAAGACAATCTTAGTGGGACGGACCGAAATGGTAAAATGGGATAATCATAGCGGGACGGAGGGAGTAATTAATAACAATGTTCCTGCAAAGTTTCAGCAGTCGGATATTTTTACCAAGGGTTTGGCTCCTCAACAGTTTTTATTTCTTAGAGACAATCTAAGCATCGTTTCTCCTGCATATATTATATTGAGGGGGTGTAATAGTGTAAAATTAATTGTTATAAATTATTAGCTAGTATCCTAATTGTATATTAAGCAACATATTTCATTAGAAATATACAGTCCAGGCTACTAATCCAGTTAAGCACAGTGGGATCCTAATTGTTTATTTTTCTCACAGTGGGATTCTCTAGCACATCTCTAGCTCCAGAAGGCATGTAGAAGAAAAGCTACGATGAAGAAGGTAATGTTAGGGATCAGTAGATAGCATGCACAATTTTCTTGGATGACCTAACATCACTTAAGTATACCTGTTGAGATATATTATCCCGGCCTATTACTGTTCAGGAGCCCAAGACATTACTCAGTACGGAGCCCGAGCAGCTAGGCCCATTTCGGCCCATCCGGCCCACTTTAGCCATTTGGACCCACTCCGGCCCATGCGGCCCATTAGGGTGGAGAGCATCCTGTTCCCCTATTCTCTATAAATATGGGAGTTTCCCTCCATATTAGGGATCCTTTTCTTCTTCCTCCTTCTCTCTAGAATAGCTTAGAACTCCATTAATGGGAGCTTCAATACTTGTACTATCTAATGGTGAGGAGAGATTAATGAGAATGAGAGGGCTTGGACATTAGCCTAAAAAGTCCCGTGGTTTTCTCCCTATCGGGTTTCCACGTAAAAAGAGTTTGTTCATATACATTTATACATATATATTTACTATATCGTGTTGGATTAAACTCAACAATACCTAATAGTATTTTCAACCTCTAGCTTTATAAGTGTATTTAGCATAAGTTTTTGTATAAAAAAATTAATTTAGCCCTTTAAAGTAAAAAGCATAGAAGTATTTTATAAAAAACAATATTGCGCGGAACACTGCTTAATTATGAAAATGTTGTTTTTCTATATTGATGACATTGTGATTACCACCCGTAGATGTGTTAGGTGCAATTGAAGTACTTCAAAAAATAAATTTAGCTTTTTAAAGTGAAAAGCATAGAAGTATATTTTTAAAACAATATTGAACACCGCTTATTGAAATATGAGGTATTTACCTAAATAGGAGTAAATGGATCTTTAATTGCCAAAATAGGACTAAAGTATAAAAATTCCCTAAATAGGACTTAATATTTGTAATTAGACAAAAACACCCTTGAAGCTGGAAAATCATGATGCAGCTAACCAGAACGCCGGACCATCACTTCCCGCCGGTCGCCGCCAGTCACCGCCGGTCGCCGCCACATCAAAACTGACCGCCGCTGCAGATCTCTCCACCGCCGCTGCAGATATGACTATCGCCGCTGCAAATTTGGCGGGAACCGCCGGAGATCTGGCTAGATCTACCATCTGCCGGCCGTCGACCACTGCAGTTGTAGATTCGGCCACCATCACAACTAATTCAGCATATGCTACTGCAAATCTGCCATCTGCCGTTGCAGATCTAGCCATCGCCGGTGCGAATGCCATTTTTTTTTATCAAAATGCCAACCTGAATCGAGAATGCCAAATTAATGGCATTTTCAAAGGAAAATACAATTTTTTTGTAGAATAATAATGCCAGTTTGATGGCAATTTCAGAGTTTAACTTGGCAATTTTGAATAACTATAGAAGAAACAAAGCAGCGAAATAGAAGAGGGGAAGGACTGAGAGAACAATCGAAGAAGAGAAGACGACCTTCGAAGAAGAGAAGACGGTCTCCGGCGGCGACAGTGGTTGACTTCATGACAGCGGCGGTGGTCCTCACCATAGCGGCGGTGGTGGTCTTCACCATAGCGGCGGCGATGGTATGACTGAGCTTCAATGTTTGGTTGCTCCTGTGCGAAGGGGAGGAGAAGAGGTTGTGGTGGAAGAAGCTGCTTGGGTACTGTGCTGCTGTGCACCTAAGGAAAGAGATACAGATGTGGGAGGAGAAGAAAAGAGGCGCAGAGAAGAAGTTATCGATGGTACCGCGCG